TCTAAGTGCATTCAGGAACTTGGCACGTTTGAGGGTCCCGTGGCTTGCGGTATACTTGGCACGCATGGCTCGCATTGAACGTGACTCACGGTATTTGAGCGCGACTCTACTACGTCATTCTAAGAGAACTTGTTGTTGGGCTAGTTGGTAGATCATTTCGAAAAGTTAATTAGAGCGCTGTGTGTTTGATGCATGGGTGTGTGCGTGTGTGAGTGATCGTGTCAAGTTTTCGCGCTCTAATTAACTTTTCGAAATGATCTACTACGTCAGCCTACCTGAACGAAAGGAAAACTTTGACGGTGAAAGCGTGCGCTAAAAAATTAACGCGGTGTCGCCTCGCGAGCAACGTTTGAGTGCGATGCCACGGCTAATCCATGCGAGCTCTCTTATCTAGCAGCGATTAAGTCAAAGCTACAAAGACAACAAAAAAAAAGAAGAAGAAGGGGTTAACACAACACATGCCAATTGAATAAGATCTCCTTAAATGATGGTGGCGGGAGTTCCTCGAGCATTCCGGGTCAAAGCCTCCTCCTGTGGACACAGCCCTAACAAAGCTACGTACTGCCTCCGTAAGCTAAGCCTGACAGCTGGTTGGACTGAATATTTTGTGCTGGTTGGACTGAATATTAACGAGGGACATTATCAGAGACTTAATTCTTTGACTTTCGAACATTCCCTTACCATTTTATTGTCATATGTGCGTATAAGTGTATCTTTGCATACGTGTGCCCGAGTGTTCTATTTTCATGCACTGCTTTGTATGTTTTACTTTAAGATACGTGTTCAGGTTTCACTGAAGGGCTAGGGAGTAGCCGGCACCATATTTGTGCGCCAACATCTCCTTATATATCATATCAATAGAAAAAAGGCTGCAAGCTGTACGCGCGTTTCTGTCCGTGGAATATGGACCCAAAGTGGCGGCATGGTTCAAGGAACCCGGTCACCAAAGTTCCACTCAACGTAGCTTAAACTTAGGTTGAACTGGGTAGGAAGCTACATCGTGTGATGTTCGGTGAACACCCCGCACCCCTCGCCAGCTTGTCAAATTGACGGGGGGAGGGGAGGGGAGGCTCACCATATTTTTTTCAGATGCCGGAGACGAAGCTCGCCGTGGTTCTCGATGAAGTCCAGGTGACGCTGTTGCTTGTACGTAGTTCCAAAAGTCCTGGTAATTGATTGATTTGTGGGGTTTAACGTCCCAAAACCACCATATGATTATGAGAGACGCCGTAGTGGAGGGCTCCGGAAATTTCGACCACCTGGGGTTCTTTAACGTGCACCCAAATCTGAGCACACGGGCCTACAACATTTCCGCCTCCATCGGAAATGCAGCCGCCGCAGCCGGGATATGAACCCGCGACCTGCGGGTCAGCAGCCGAGTACCTTAGCCACTAGACCACCTCGACGGGGCATGCACTGCTTTGTATGTTTTGCTTTAAGATACGTGTTCAAGTTTCACTGAAGGGCTAAGAAGTAGCCGGCACCATATTTGTGCGCCAACATCTCCTTATATATCATATCAATAAAAAAAAAGGCTGCAAGCTGTACGCGCGTTTCTGTCCCGGGAATATGGACTCAAAGTGGCGTCATGGTTCAAGGAACCCGGTCACCAAAGTTCCACTCAACGTAGCTTAAACTTAGGTTGAACTGCGTAGGAAGCTACATCGAGTGATGTTCGGTGAAACACCCCGCACCCCTCGCCAGCTTGTCTAATTGACGGGGGGAGGGAGAGGGGAGGCTTACCATATTTTTTTCAGATGCCGGAGACGAAGCTCGCCGTGGTTCTCGATGAGGTCCAGGTGACGCTGTTGCCTGTACGTAGTTCTTCCAAAAGTCCAGGTAAGATGCACACGCACACACGAGGAAATAAAGTTGAAACGTGACCCGTACGTATTACTATATGCCTCATGCCCCACGCCTCGAGGAACTGCAGTCTACAAAACACGCAGCATGACGAGTCGCAAATAAAGAAAAAAAAAATGTAAGCCCACCGCTTGCGTCGAACGCGTACGACGATGCTGCGCATGCGCTGTTGCAGCCAAATCTGGTTGCACCATGACGTCACAATATCGCTCCTCGCCGTCTTATCGGCGAGATGTGCGCGCGGCGCACTACGGAAAAGAAAAAAAAAGTAATCGAAGAAAAGATGTACAAAAACCAAATCGACGGATGACTCTGCGAGCTCGGAACGTTCTAGTAGCGCCTAAACTGCAGAGCTGAATTGGTTCTGGATCGCTTTCATACGGTCACTTTTCGCGTAAATTTCGCGCTGTTGCATTGCAACCCAATTACCGGCATGACTTGCAAATATGTGACGAACGTGAGCAAATAATGAAGCTATAGTTATATTTGTAGTCATTGCTTTTAACCCTTATCAGGCCACCTTTTACTTGAATCTGCTGCAATTAATAAGAAACGTTCAGTTTCTTTATCTCGTACCTTATGTCCGCTGTCGCGGAGCATGTCCCGAAGGATGCGGGTTCGAGCCCGGCTTCGACGTAGACGGAGGCGAAACACCAGAGGCCCGTGAACTGTGTGATGCGTGTGCGCGTTAAACCGTTGCTTAAACTTCCGGAGCCCTCCACAGCACGGCATCCAAGTTTCGTAAAGCGAAAACATATCTCATATATACGAAATGGTGACTCAAGGGCTTTTAACAGGTTGTAATTTGATTACGTGGCTACGGCCGCTGGATACAAAGCTGCCCTGGCATAACGATAAGGGTGGGAAGGTCATGACCGTTTTGTACTGAATCTACAAATAAATAAAATACTTCTGAAAGATCTTCAATGGTACGAGTGGTACGAGTGGACAACGGCGCCATGCCCGATGGGATCACCATCAATAGGAAAGTAACTACATTGTTTTAGGGTGCCCATTCTCATGCAAGCAGTCGCATATAGATGTGACGTGTCGCATCAACCAAGTCAAAACGCACAGACTACGTCGTTACTCCCACGTGATGAAACCTAACGGCCAGACTCAAAGAGTAGCCGTTGTGTATCGGTCTAGTTCCAAAATAACGTACTTTGTCTGTTGAAATAAAACTTCTTTTTGGCGCTGCCACTTGCGCAATCACACCGGTGCATGCCGCCGTTTTAGAAGAAGCGATGAAAACGACACACGTACTTAATGGGGCCCAAGTAACTGTGGAATGAATTCACTGGAAGAGCTCATTGCCTTACGAATTAAACGCCGCAATTTTTTTTTTAAGAATCCGTCCAGTGCGAGTGCAGTTAAAAGATTTGTCGCATGCTACCATTGCATTCTGTCTTCTCTTGTCCCGACGAAAGCGCTGGAAGCTAAGCAGAAAGGGATGACAGGGACAAAGAAAATACGTCACTCGCGGATCGTGGCCTTGAGCACTTCCTTTTTTTTCGAATGCGCAGCTTTTTCATTGTGATCGCGCGCACAAGCGTGGACAAGTCGTGGCCTCCTGGGGCGATCTCTCCGATCGCGCGATGTTCGAATCAGCCAATGGCTGTTAGATTGGCTTTCTACGAGTGGTTTTTGAGCGTATTCTGTTATTTATCGAGAGAAGAGAAAGTAATCTTTAGCTGACTTCGATCATTTGTTATGAAGTCCAGGCCACGTGCTGCACTATAATCATCGGCTCTCATGTTGTCGGGAGCCTCTACAACCGATCGGCAGCGTTTTCTGACCATGCTCAAAAAGTATTCCAGGGCACCTTTAATTTGTGTCGCAGGGCACTGTTCCAACTGATCAGCATAGCCGCGACCAGCTATTGCTGCTTACCCCTCAATTCAAGTGCTGTAAGTGCTACTTAACTGCTCGCTATCGACCTACTGTATCCAAGCTGCAAGCAGTTTTCATCATAGCAGGTCACGGGTCTCGTTCCGACGCAAATAAGACCAGTTATTCACAGTACATGTAAGTTAGTACACTGCGGAAAACAGCGAGACGACTACACGTACGAAGAGAAAATGGGAAACAAATCACCGCACTGAATCGCAAATAATTGTTTGTTAAAAGATGCAATGATGGTTTGCTGTTTCTTTTGCGGTTTTGCTTTGCTTTAATGAGGTCACACGGGTAACATGGTCGTAGGAGTCGTTTTATTTTCCTTCATGTGTTTTTGATAAACATTCAGTTACAAGTCAGCGGTGTGGGTGTTGCCCCCTTTTTTCTTCGTCAGTGTCGTCATTGCACTGCTGCAAAAACGTTTATGTACTGTAAACAACTAGCACAGCCAGATCGGTAAACGCACTCACTAATCAATTAACTCAGACGAAGCAGAGAGCCTGAATACCAGTGAGACTAGGTGAAGAAATTATTGGCAAGTCTGACTGCGAGCAAGCCCAAAACGCGAAATATATTCTTGAGCGAGTCTGAGTGAACTCCACCTTTTATTGCCATCCTGTGGTCATATCTACCGAATTTCAACATTACTATCGGCTTTATATATCGGTTTGCGTTCTACTCAAGTCTACTCATACATACCTGAATGCTGTAGCATTCATGTGTCACTCAATATACATTGGTCAAAGGTGTGACAAAAGAGCTTGCCGGGGTTAGGTCGGGGGCGCTGCCCCAACCTAACCCCGGCAAGCTCTTTCACAGGAATAGGATAAAAATATCTCGTGTCAGCTACAAGCTGCATTAAAATGTCGTCGCTGGACTTAAATCTCAGATAACTCCTAACTGAAGGCCAGACTTATTTTTCGGGGAGGGGGGGCAGGGGTTAAACGATATCGTATATATGTTCGTGCATACGTTTGCATCTGTGCATGTATCTATATGCAAGCAAAATTGAAAAATTTGGTGGGGTTCTGAACGCTACTGTTATTTTCCGAACCACCTGCCTCTTCGGACAACAAAATTATTTCAATCGATGAATAAATCAACCAATCACCTCTTTAGATGGCCATTCAGAAAGCAAATCGAGGAAGAGGACGATTGCCCCAGTTCTCCTCATGGATATTCACCCCCGGCTATGCAACTGCAGCACTGGGCCCATTAGGAACAATGAAAGCGAAGCCTTTCACCAGGAAAAAAATTCTTTATTAACATCTTCCTTATTAGTTTGTGCTTATACAAACAAACAAAAAAACAGTATCACACGAGGAATTCGCAAAAAAAAAAAGGGACCACGCAGACTGGCGCGCAGCCATTTCAGCAGAACACATGAAAACCAAAGCAACGTATAATACATGCATTGCCATCTTGTTTGCCGTGTCACAATCTCTTTCTCAGCGCACGGAACAAGAAAAGAAAACCCTTTCGTATCGCCCGCTTTCGTTCGTTCAGCGGGCTTTAAAGCTTTCATGTTCAGCACTCCTACTGTACAGACTATTTTGCCATTTCTGTACAGTTGTCGGTCAGGTAAGTGATAGTGATCTGAACCTCAAAAGAATGTGCAGCAGGCTAATCGCCTCCTGCTCACTCGATGCATCCACCATGGAGATAAGGAGCGACAGTATCACCCGCAGCCAATAGGCGCATAGTACCAACACAGACGCAGGTGACGTACATGTCGTCGCCAACCCACCCGACGTTGTTTCGTCAGTTGATTTTGTCGCATTCATGGACGACGTCAGCTCGGGGCATTTTCGCTTTGACCGTGGTAACAGCATGAAGGCGTTTCAAAGAACACAATGAATGTCGTGGCTCACTGACGTAGCAGTAATTCCACTAACGGTACCATCTATGTAGTAAATTACTTCGGTCAAGAATGAGGTTACATTGCCATATGCGGTCTGGCATTTAGATGGATAGTTTAGGGTGCGGTCAGCAGTTCTCATCCGCGAACTTTGAAATTTTAAAAATTTTTTGCTGTTGTTATTTGACTTCGCCACAACACGAAGGGATGACAGTGAAAGTGTACAGAGACTGTCTATAATTCATCCAGTGATAACAAAGAAATTGGAGCTCTCAAATGTACATATTTAGAGTAGCTGCTGTACTTGAAACACATCTTCAAACTGCACAAACAAAAATGCACGGCAAGCAACAGAAAGAAGAAATAAATAGGGCCGAGATATCCGAGCCACTAGAACGTAGAAATGTTGATAGAATACTCGTCAAAGTTGTACAATAATGCTATAACTGTACTGCCTCACTAAGTCACAACAATATTACTGAAGAGGACTTTTAAGACATGCTGAGAACGATACCAGTAGCTTTTAGACGATAAAAAAACCAAAATATTTTAGATTAAAATGTCCGCTCTAGCTGCGTGCTTTGGTATAAACAATTACAGGTATTGGCCTTACTGTAAATTATCATCGTAGTTATGCCTTAAGACTGCCTCACTAACCTAGTAGGAAATATTATGCCCCACAGGATAGCTGCAATGAGCTAGCTGCACACTGAAAATCTGAGTGAATAAAACGAATTCATTGATGTGAGAGGAGCTTAACCTTTAATGAGAGCGGTACGTTCACTGCTCAAAATTTTGCACACAAATGTAAATTTTCTTGACACAAAAAAAAACATGTACATTGCTACTCAGAACAACACAAACACTACAAAGTCAATGTACTCATGACAATATTGCCAGTGCATTTCTTAATTGCAGGCTGACCCACATACCTACATGATTCTGCCTCCTACAGGAGCAGAACACAGGCGGTGCATGTAACATTAACGAATCTGGTCCCAGGAGCTATAGTTCCCACAGCACTGCCTTGTCTAAACTGCCACAAATGATTTGAACAGTTCCTAAGCATAGACTGCTTCATCAATTCATATGGCTCAGACACATCGGCCTTGAATGTGAAAATAACTATCTTGACTACTTCCAAGGAAACAAAAAGACTGGCAGGACAAGAAATTTCAACAGAAACCATAACTTCTGAAAGAGAAGATGTGCTAGGGAAAAGGCTAAAGAAGATATATTAAATTAAAAACGTATTCCTAGACGCACTTTCAGTCGGAGTGTATCGCTGACAATGTCATATGCTAATTGTCATACTCTGTTCATGTATTTATACATTTATATAACCAACACTCGTGCTGACACAAATGTACCATCAACAAAGCACAACTTTCTCACCCCTCAATCGCTAATGTTGAAAGGACGAGTACGGCATGCTTCACTGCTCGGTACTGTACTTGCTGTGCTAAACTTTGCAATGCATGTACATATAAACAAAACAAAGTAAACACCACTAAGCTATATTAAAGCTCACGACAGTAGCTCTCAAAAGCAGCAAGAAGCCCAGCCAGAGTGAGTTTGCTTTTGATGCTCAGGGCCATCGCTTCCTTATGTTATTCCTTTAATGCCTTTAAACACCGTTTAAAGACAGACAGTCTTCTGACACACATTATCATCCACGGCAACTGTGAGAAAAGATGTGCGATAACCTATTATAACCATCACAGGTGAATTTGGCATTTTGTTATTTCCCATGTCACTGCCGACATCTAAATTCTGGCGATAGAATCCTTCTAGGAGAGTGCCGGCATTCTTTGTTCACACTTTCTTTTCCAAAAATAACAACCAGGAACTGCAAAATACTTTCACAGAATAAGCAAGGCAACTGACCACAGTGAAGCATGTCGCATCGAGATCTGAAGGAAGCTGCCATTCAACCACGCATGCACACATACTCACTTCTCTTTAAACGCACAGAACACTCATAAGCACACTGGCACAGCTGTTCCCAAGGCACAAGGAACACGGGACAGTTTCAAAAAATGAATATATTAACATCATACGAGGACACGTCTTAGGGCAAAACAGCCGCGCTCACTTTTCCCCCCTCAAGTCCATTTCACTTAAAAACGAAGCTTCATAAGAAAATGGCTGCTAGTGCATTTGGCTTTTAGACAAGGAAAACGGTGTCGCATCTATGGCATCATAGAAACAACGAGCTGTGCAAAAGATTGATCGCTAATAATTCCCGTTGAGCTGGCATGTTCTGCTGCTCACATCTAAAGGAAAATGTTCTAGCAAAAGAGAATGTAATGTGCAGAACTTACCTCACACTATGTCATACTACCATGGCTACATTGTCTTATCTCTGCACAGAGATGCTTTGCCCATATTCTAATGCACAGTCCTACACATAATAGGACTGAATGCTAACAGAGCAAATGAAATGATTGAGTGCCAATTCTCAACGTTTTTTAAACTAACACTTGTCAAGCATTTCGTTATATAACATGATTTTTAAAATACGAGTGCCAATGTCAAATAAAAACTCTAGAGATGTGCAGCGGTTACTTCAAAGATTATTTAAAAATTTGCAAGCAATACTGATTGATGGCTGGGTGATGCTTATAAAATGTATTTCAGCAGCTCTCACCTAATTGTCATTGATAATTTACTGAAATGCCTAAATATCAAGTAGACCACATCTGTCTAAAATGTATCAGTTGAAATCTGATGCCTGTGAATGTGAAGCCATGTGCCACAATACATGACGTGTCACACATGAATGCTGAAAAGTCGCTGACTAGGAGCAAGCCTTTTCCTGCCTCGCAAGCGTTGCATAGTGCAAGACTGCAGCTCACTTGCTCTGAACACAAATGCTAGAAATGCATGTCTTAAGTGTCCAGACCTCACATTACCAAATAAGGCTTGATACCACTGAAACTGGATATGCCTAAAGTTGAGGGCTGTAGTGAACGTTGCAGCGCTTGAACACAGCCCTCACAACCACAGTGCCGTTGAATATACATATTCTCTTAATTATCAATGTTCGCTATCATTAGTGCATTGTGAACAAGCAAGTTATAGCCCGACAGTTAAGTGAGCAGAGTTTTCCAGCCAGTGCATGAGTGAACAGGAACACATCAAAAACACCAGGAGTTGGCTATTTAACCTATGGAGTGCATGTACACAACTTCATAAAGCAGTCAATGGTGGTCCACAGAGCACAGCTCAGCCACATTTCAGCAAACGGTGAACATACCTTTCTTGTATTCCGGTGATAGCACACAAGTGTGGGATAATGCCATTTGCTAGAGTTAATCACTCCACTTTTGTACCCGCTGGAGAAGCTGCGTTTCCTTTTCAGCTAAAGGGTATCGTTACTTAGGATGCAAAAAAACTACATTATGGGAAGAGGCATGCTAGGTATGACAGCTACTGCACAGATTAAAAAATTGAGTTGCGAGGGTTGAGTGATGGAACATGGAAATGGGGGAGAGTTGTAAGCGAGCGTTTTTGTGAAAAAGCTTCCAGTGTGTAAACGCAGTAAAGAGCAATAACCTTGAACTGTTCGTAGACCGACAAATTGGTTGGCCCGTTTGAAATCTAAATGCACAGGTGTAGCACTGAAGGGGGCTACCACCTCCTCAAAAAAAATTTGAAATAGTTGCAAAACCCGTTAGGACCATCTAAGTGAAAAAGCTCTGCTGCTACTGGTGCTGCCATTTCAATGCGTGTAAGGCACTTTGCAAACATGGAAAATATGCACTTTGTTTAAAATGCGATTACTGGCTAGCTACCAGTAGTCCACTATGACTACCTTTGGCACTGCACTTCATGATTAACAGAAGAATGGTCCACTTTCATAGAGATTCTATGTTATAGCACAAGCAGCATCGCATCAGTAGAGCTCTATCTTCAGGACCTATCAAATAAAAATGTAAACAGTGCGAGCTATGCAGATCACTATAAGTGGTGTGGAAGTGCCTAATGGCAATTTCTCTGATTTTTTTAGGCAGTGATGCACACGCAAAACTGCTCCCTAGCAATATTGTGCACTCGCTGGGTTGTGAAGGTTAGCACACAGATGCATCTGGCAAGAAACACTGGACACTGAAAACTCTGCTCCCCATAACTTATGTGATTCATTGGTAGGAAACAAATAGAACGTATTTTTTCTGAACCTGGGAACCTTGCACCTTAAATGCATTGTCATATCATGCAGTTCATATCTAGCAGCTTCCAAAGCTCACCGACTTCCTGCCCTCTGAATAACTGCTTTGGGACTTAATCCGTTAGCCTTGCGACACAGCATTCACACCCTCCTCAAATATAAAACAAATGATGCATGCGATCAACTTTCTCACTCACTCAGTTCACTAACACGAGTTTCACTATGTGCAGATGTATACCAAAAATTGACACCAAGTGCTAACTTCCACTGGAAATAGTGAGACGGTGCTCCATGCTAGCGGCTCTGCTTTTACTTTTCCACGCGGGGACGAAATGCCATCTCAGTTTTGAAGCCGCAATCCGCTGGCTTGGACGGGCATGCACTGAAGACCTCTTTTGCTTCTCTCAAAGCGAACAAGGCAGAACTAGTACTGCAGAAGTGCAATTGCCCACAGAACAAGTTCAGGCATCGTGGGTCACAACCCAGAATAAGAGGAGGGACAGAAAGTGCTGACAGACAATGCCAGATACACAGGCCTTGACAAGAAGAAAAAAAAGTTCGAAAAAATTCAAAAGTCAATTTGTCTTTAGACAAGACGTGAAATGGCCACTAAGTAGAGGGCGCCGCAGGGAGCACACCACTGTTCTTGGGCCACAGGTGTCACCATCCGCCAGCACAGGACACAACACTGTCGGGTTGCCAAAGGCCATCCGGAAAATGTTTGGCGCATCACACTGTGCACAGCACTAGCGTTCACGCGGTCGGGTCACCCACTCTTGTTCCCATATACACAAAAAAAAAAACAAAACACATTGACTGACCAGATGATGTCGACGACCATAGATGGTACTTCAGTGCTTGAAAGTCCTAGCCTGCAGTCCCACAGTGCTGGGAGAGCGCAACCACGTGCAGACATTTTTGCCTAACATAATAAACAATGTCCAGAACAGAACAGTCTTCTCAGTGCACAGCACACAGGGTGGACGATGCAACATTCAGCAGCGCATGTAACCAGGCGACTGCTGCTGTCTGCTAGTCTGCCGGCTCACTCGTTCAGTCCGATAGTGGCAGTGGCTCAGCAGATGGTTGATCTAAACATTCACAACGTGGTGCAGACGACGACGCGAGGTGGCAACTGTTTCATCTTGTTCTTGTCAGAATAACGTTAAAGTGCACAGCCAGCAATGTGGTCAGTGGGACAGACCACCATAACGAGACCAGTGACGAGGCACTGTTCACCAGCTCCTCGTTCTTGGCTCTCGTTTCGTTTGGCAGCTTGTCTCGGTTTTCTGCAGAGAATCAGGGATGGCAAGTGTTAGGTTCGTAAGTGGCGATAAGTTAGATACAGTAATAACTCAATAAATTAAAACAATTGCAAGTGGTTGGAGAGATCAAAGTAAATATGGTGATATGGCTAGTACAGTGTAAATTTCTGCTCATGACGAAGTTCATAGTAACGAGCTCTCTCTTGCTGTAAAGTGCTACTTACTAAGTTAGACTAACCGTGTGATTGCCGACTACAAGGCAGCAGATATTGCAACAACTTTTTGATTACAAATCACTCATATTGGTGAACTTCAGCACATGCTTTCCAGTTACTTTCAAACATATTTACTAAAGCTCCGAATATTTATTCGCCACAAATTCATTCACTCGATTCATGCTTTTTGTGGCACTATACTATACGTAGCTTGGCTTATCCTATACCTGTACTTTTTTCATAGACTTGGTATGCTTGTTTGACTGTTCTGTGAGTGAACGTGTTATAAGGGCACATGTTATAGGCTTCTGATGAATAATGCATTGCTGTTCATTAATACAAAACAAACAGTTGTATAAGTGTACCCATATGTGCCCTCGTCATGATGATAATCCATATTTGTGCTAAGTATGCCTTGGTTCGAAATTTAAAAATATACCTAAGCTGATTGAGTGCGCATCTTTAAGTCTGTGTGATGCAAAACTTTTATGCAATAGTGAAACAGTATAAAACTAATTGTGATGCCCAATTGTGTGTATTTTCATCCTGTGGAACACGATATCGCACAAGATGGCAATCTTTGATGCCCTGCCAAGCTGAAAGCCCTTACAACCACTCATGCCACAGTGCAGAAACCCACCCTTCACATACCTATACTGAAGGATTATAGGAGTGGGCACACAATCAATGGCATGCACTGAGCAAACAATATATCAGCCAGCAATGCCATTTATTATAAGGCGAAGTGTCTATGTTGTCTATAACATTTCTTCCTGTATGTTGATCTGTTGCACCCAAAGACATCACAAAAAAAAGGCCTTTCCCGGAACTTATATCTGAAAGATCTCTCAAGAAAATTCGACGTCCAGTCTTTCGAAACATGCAGATACTGATCTCCCGAGTGATCAAAATTTGGATGACAATTCTGAAACATAGCTTTTGTTTGAAGTCTGTGTTTTACTATATGGTAACCACATGGTGTACCTCAAGAAAAGGTGCCTGAAAACAGTCCCGTCTGCAAAGCTCACGAACACACAAATTAAGAGAATTAAAGAATTGCGGAACATGTGCGGGTCAGGATGCTAGTACATCATTCCGCTGCAGTACATCATTAGATGACGGTAATACGAGCACCCACCGGCGGTCTTCTTGGAAGACTGCTTGCCGTCCGCCACGGGCACGTCGTATGTCTTGATGGGCCTGTGTGGCGGGGGTCGCGGCGGGAACACGGGCCACCGCCTCGGAGGGGGCAGCGGGGACTCCTCGGGCACAGCTGTGGGCGGTAGCCACGGGGCCCGGGGTCGCGCTGCGGGTCCGGCCGGCAGCACTGGGCGCGTCGCATTGGTCGCCCACGGCCGCCGCCGGTCCGACGACAGCTCGTCACGGGGAACCGAGGACGGCACGGCCGGAGGCAGTGCCGTGCTTGTGGTTGTCGATCGGGGCCGAGATGTGGTGCCTGCGGGGGAAGAACAGGCTTTTTATTGCAATAGCACTTACGTGGACACTATGGACAGGTTTTCGCCGCGGTTGTCATGTGTCCTATAAAGTCCAAATTATAACATCTTTTCACGCATCGTATGTCCTATCTGCGAGAAAAAGCGCGAGCGCTGACGACGAACGTGGCCCAAGCACTTTAAATCGCGCAGAGAATGCGCGCGATAACATTTCGTTGTCTAGTATCAATGCCAACTAAAGGTATGTGCACACTGGCGGGAAGCCTGCCGCGGCCACGGCGTCCCGCCCGTCGGGGCCTCTTCTCGGCAGCCAGCAGCACGCTGTCCACATTGGCGCCCCGCGAGAAAAGCGAAACAAAAACGGACATATGTAGAGGCGCACGTGTCCACCTGCTAGTTGGCGGTGGTGGTAGTGGTTAGAAGAGGAGAAAGGCACCTCATTTCTGCAGCCCGGTCGGGAGCACGGGCTTGTTGCCGGCTCGCGGTTTGTCTTCTCCGCGACAGATGCAGAGGAGACAAGGCATGGGTGAGCAGGCGCCGCCGATGTGTGGAGGAAGGGAGGGAAAAGCAGGCGCTCATCGCTGGTTTGCTTGCGCGGGAGCCGGCGGAAGCGGCAAAAAATAGCCCAGCGAACCCTCGCGAGACGCCGTTTCTCTCTCCCGCCGAGCTTTTTTTCTCCCCTAGTCTCCCACAACATTTAGTTGTAAATAAGTGAATACATGAAATGAAACTCACTCTTGCTGGGGTCGCAGCAGACCTTGAAGATGACCTTCATGTTGTGGGTGGCGCATCGGCCACCGATGCGCTGGTGCAAACCCTCCTCGCTTCCCGTCGAAGTGGCTGCAGTCACAATATAAATCGAGTCAGGGCAAGCTTAAGTCATTTCACTCACTAAATCAGTTCAATACCTCTTCGAGACCTTTAACAACTCACTATAACATTTGTGGCGTCTTTCAGCCACATAACAATAATCGTGGTTGTCTACTGACCCAAAGGTCGCGGGATCGAAATACGGAGGCGGCGGCCGTTTTTCAGTGGAGGTGAAATGCACAATGCCCGTGTATAATGGCCCTCCCCTGCAGCGTCCCTCTATCGCATCATTGTTTTGGGATAATAAAAACGCCACCGGGAACAGCTCTTATTAATGTAATGCCTCCACCAAATGTCAAGAGGCCTTCTGGCTAACCAAGTCATCATCAGGTGGTGGTGCCGAGCAGCGAGAAGTAACACATAGGATAGCACCTGTATAAGCAACCCCTTGACTTCTTCCACAGAATCCCCATCCCTACTGCCCATTGCTGTCTAGTACATCATCATCATCAACATTATTATTATTATTATTATTATTATTATTATTATAACCATAGGCCACATTGCTGGTGTTTAAAAAAAATCCGTAAACATAGGTTGTGTGCCCCATTTCTAGAGATTTTTTTTCATTGCAGGCTTCCATCTTTTCTTCCAGTCTTTCTTTTTTTCAGATTGCTTGCGTTTCCTACACGTTAAAAGAAATCACACCTTAAAGGTAGCCCCTCTAAGGGCCTAAACGCCTTTGGTATGACTGGCGTACTAATTTCACTTCCTTTAAAGTGTGAAACTCTTATACGAGATTGCATCAGGAAGGCGAGTTGGATACCTCCGGGCATAAACGAGCACATTTTGTTGTGCTCGTCTCGAGGAGGTTCCTCGTACACCGAGCGTATAGTGTTGGTTGGAAGGCACGAAGAGCAAAATCGAGGAAGACCACTCACAGATGAAGTAATAGTCCTGTCCGGGTCTGAACTCGAGCCCCCCCGGCTGGGGCGTGAAGGAGCGGAAGGTGATCGTGAAGTACATTAACTGGTGGGGTTTGTCGCAAACAGCGATTATGCGCGGCGTCGGGTTCGTGATGCGGCACGAATCGTACTCTTCCTTGGACACCTGCGACACCAGAAAGAGAGAGAGAGATTGTTACACGTTGACCAACCAGAAAGTAAACACCACCGCAACATACACACACGCTTGTGTTGAGCCACACAATTCACAAGCGAAAAAAAAAAAGTGGTGAGTGTGCAAAACAAGCTTCCGGGCGACAATTTGTCATCGCGTCACATGGCCGCTCAAGGACACAATTCTCGAAAAAAAAAAAAAACTGACGTTCAAGCAGTTGCGGTAACCGGAAGGCTCGTAGCACCTTACGTTGCACTAAATATGTGAATCAGGATCCCGAAGGCGGAGAAAGAAAGTTTTAAATGTAATGTTCTGAAGTGTCAACACTGTATTTTTTTATGTCTGTGGAAGTCACATTTCCTTCACTTACTTATTGACATTAGTCTAAACCGTACGAGCAGTTTTTCTTCATATTTTAGTGATTACTTAGCTGAGAGACACGGTTTAAATCAAAGTGTCGTCAGAGTTACGACAGCAAATACTTCTTTTACGAAGGCTCTCTGAGAGTTATACTGGCATCGAAAGAGCGCCTGTGGCGTCACTCTTACCACATAGCATTTCGTTGTTTTAAGACGATGACCACAGAACAAAATTATGAGAAACGCGTTCATTTCTTCATGCTTGAAACACTTACACCTAACTATTCTGCATGTTGTTGGGTTAACAAACTGGTTGATATTCCCGGTGTGAGAAGCTTCCCGCAAAATAACAGTCTCGCTAGGTTGTGGTATGTTTTCCTAAAGAATGAGGGAGCGCTCACGTTGTAAATGATGTACCGCTCGACGTCCTCCTCCTGGGTTCCCGTGCGGTAGACGGGGCAGATGATGTTCACCTGGTCGTACTCGAACGGGATGTTGCCCTTGTTCACGTCGATGATGTGGTCCGTGTTGTCAATACGGAAGCTGCAAGATAAAGATTGAAATAAACCACCCGTAGCATGCGTGCAGTACGACAAAAAAGCGTGACATCAGAGTGCATAACTCGATTACTGGTTGGGCGAACTACATGAAATAGTTATTTGAGATAACAGGCAGCTCCTGCTCGTCAGAAATGCTTAGAGAAGCATAATACAGTACATAGCTGTGTAAGTCACAGTCACTATCCAAGCCAAAGTGATGACATAAAGCCACGTCTTTCAACTACCGATGGCTACACAGTGTCCGACGTTGGGTAATTCCGAATAAAAAGGCCCATATTATTACTAATGTTTGTTATCCACTGTCGCCTCTCTATACTAATGTGTTCGGTATTGAGTTTAACAAAGATATGGTCAAAGTTACATCCTACGGTATTTTCACAAGTTTCGTGTATTGGTCAGTGATTGGAAATTGTCAGCAACAACAAGCAGCGTCTTCCTGTGAAAGTGCCGTGCCAGAGAGGGTCAAGACTCCCAGACAAAACATTCTCGCAAATAGGGGAATGCGTTGTCGATATTGGCAAGCCCTCATTCGCCTCCTGACGCCCACCACATGTGCTCAGAGGACGGCCAGGAACGCGCCTCTTTAATTAAAGTCGTAACTTCACGAGGCTCCCTACGACCTTCAGCTGCTGGCGAACATTTACACGGCGCGGCCGATGGAAGAACTTGTCCTTGCACCCCTCTCACTATCTACCATCTCTTTTTCTTCCACTTGATCTTCTCCTTACGAGCAATAAGGTCTGGCAGCACACACACACACACACACACACACACACACACACACACACACACACACACACACACACACACACACACACACACACACACACACACACACACGCGCACGCACGCACGCACGCACGCACGCAATGCGCACACACGGTGGGCATAAAGAAGTCACAGTTTCGCCGCAAGGGCGAAGAAATGAATGCGATGGCAACAACTTTACATGAAACGCTGAGAACAGCTAGCAAATCGAAACGTGCAGCGCGCTACTCACGCACAAATGGCGCACGAAAACAATACAGACTAGACGAGAGCTAACAACGTTTACAGCTCGACGCTTAACGCGCTGTGTAAAGAAAACGACGCACGAAACGTAATCAGAGGTACATATATGAGTGCGAACTTACGAAAGTCCCAGTTGTTACTTCGGTGTGTTTGAAAATCGCGCTCTTTCGTAAAACGGGGCCTGCCCAGCGAGCAAAGTGATCTTTGTGCGCCCGGCAACTAAACGCTGTCTTTTCGGTGAAATGCCAAGGCACACGATTCTCCCCACCGAAGGATAAGCGCGCGCACACAAGCACAACCCCCCCCCCCCCCCCTCCCGCCACCATGCGGGGGGGCAAAGTACGCATGGGGGATAAACAAGCGTTGGCGCATCGCGACGAGCTGGGCGCCGAGCGCGGCCGGCTTTTTTTTTTTTTGCTTGTTTCTTGAGTTTCCACATAGATACCTATACATATACGGTGCATGACGGCGGCGGCAAAAACCTGCCAAGACTGTCCATATAATTGCTATTGCAATAAAAGAAACCTAGACAGATAGCAGGCGAACACTTTTAAGACTGGAGCGCCCACGAGTGTTATCAAGGAAGGAACTAGATGGTAGAACGGAAGTGTGTTTTACCTCCTCTAACTCCACCAATATAATCTGCCTATTTCACTAACGGCACACTCGTACGTACTTGCGAAAGCACACTTCGTCTCGTAAAGTGCGGGCTGCATCGCTTCGTATGGTATGGTACTTCGTAAGTCCAAGCCTAGACACTTGGTCCGGTATACGCTACATCCTTTCTCGTCGTTTGGAGACGACGTAAATAAAAAAAAAAAGACGTAGTTGGCTTTGGTCGGTCGAGCCGGACACAGATCTGAATGTCACAATCGGTGTTCGCAATCTGGACAGGATTCAGCACAGGAAGCGGTCACCGGTTCCCGAATCGGTTTCAACGAGACTCCCCTGGAGTGCGTAGGGAACGTGTGTATGCTTCACTTCTTCCGCTTCCACGTGCAGTATCAAGCAAGGAAGCGTATCCTCGTCCCTGCTCATAGTGTACTGTGATCGATTACACCGATAGAGCTTCGAACAAAGCAGACCACCTGTGTCTTCTACTTGATAACGAACGGATTCTGTTTCCATGCTAGTACGAAAGAATGCAATCCTCTCTACAGTATTTCAGGACAAAACATGCGCATTGTCTTTTTCGTCTCTATCAATTCTATCAATGCACGTTTGTCGGTTGTAGTCTAGCTGTCATACTTGTAGCAACACCTAAAAATTACACCAAAAATGTATGTATATATGTATGTATGTATGTATGTATGTATGTATGTATGTATGTATGTATGTATGTATGTATGTATGTATGTATGTATGTATGTACGTACGTACGTACGAACGTATATTCAGAACATGGCCTAGCGTCCTTAGATTCCGAAATGACGTAACACTTCCAAATACGCAGTAGGTTGTCACCCAGATTATTTATAAGGCACGCGCAGCTAAAGTACCTCGTGGTGGCGATGGCGAAAGCGGGCAGAGAAAGGGGGAGGGGGGGGAGAGGCTGGGATTAGAGTTTAATGCACATCCTCCATTCCTTCCAGCGAATGACGGTGAAACATACGAAATCCATAAATAAACCCCCTCGTCTTTTCTCTCTTCAAAATGGAGCTCGCATTGCATTCCCAAATCCCTCGGCGGTCCTGGCGTCAGTCTGTTGTTTCATCAGTCTCTCGAAAAAAAAAAAAAGAGTGTTTAGCGCTCCCGCGAGAGCGCGGAAGAACTGCGTTTGATCCGCGCGCCATCCAAGCACGTGTGTGGAACCTCGTAATCAGTTCCGACTTATATAAACACACTGTCACAACGACATCAATTCGTCGAGACAGCACCGTAAAAAAGGCTATTTAAACCCATCTCCGATGTATCAAGCTTAGAAAGGGGTACGCAATAAAACTACACCAGATGGTAAAAAGAAAAATACGTTACGCCACAAATTCGCTGTTATCATTGCCAGTGCAAACTTCCGCGATGGATGGTAACAAACTCATATACGTCATTTCACGCACGTCTTATTCCCCAAGTTATTCGTCATGTATCCGTTATTTATTTATATATTATTCGTTTTTATTCACATATTTTCTGTTCGATTGCTATATTTCCGATTCACCTTCTACGTTGTCACACCGGATGAAAAACCCATCACACGTGAAGAAGCCGTCTCACATAAACCCGACACCAACATCTGGAGAGAACTATTGCGTGCAACATGATAAATGAAAAAAATGTTCACTTTCTCATCTAAAAGCATACGTAATAATTTGCTGAACTCTGAAACTAGTTGGAGATAAGTTATGGTATTCTAGACACATCTCACAGACTATTACTAAGGTTGATCATTGGGTATCCCGTTGTGGAGCCTAATACGAGGCTGCGGGCTCGACTCCCGGCCTCGACAGCCACATTCTTATTGGGGCAGAATGCTAAAATCCTCTTCTGTCCGAGGACATAAGGTGCCCCGGGTGGCCGTTATTTGTGTACAGCCCCTGCATCAGGATTTCTCAAAGCCACTATATTTGCCTAGGTACGTCAGAACGGGTAAACTAACCCTATTGGCATCAATTTCCGTAGTTTTATTTATTTTCGATACTGCCAGTCTCATACGAGACCAAAGCAGAAGGGCACCGGTTCTTGGATACACAATACAGTTTTCAGTTTCACATTTGTACAGCGGCATATTTGTCAAAACGTCTAAGAGTGGCTGGAGTCAGAAATGCCTGAAGGGGCCTCGAGGCCTTCATTAACGCGAATAACGCTACACCACTTAATTTGCGGTTAAGATCTCGCTACCTGCCAGCGTCATGAGAGGCTTGCAGCCACATTAGTTTTCGAGCAGGGTGCCTGGACTAGCAAAGATGGAAATGTCACGGATGAAGTATGGTGTGGACAATGGAAAAGAATCCGCTGACTCGAGAACGCGAGATAGAGAGAGAGAGAGAGAGAGAGAGAGAGAGAGAGAGAGAAAAGGTAAAAGAAAGCTAAGAACTCAAACAACGGCGAACAAGGGCTTCCGGGCGAGAACAGGAATCTCGGCCAATGATAAATGAAGCTTATGAAGCGAACCACTCTGAGACACAGTTCGCACCGAGAAACAAAAAAAAGGAAGTAAAAAAAATGAAAGAGTGAAATGTACGGCAGCCGGCTCTCTTCACCCCGAAAACCACCGGCTTCACCGCCTGTCATCTACGACGGGAAAAGTTGGACGCGGAGCCGAGAAAGCAGCGAGCAGCAGCACGTTCTTGGAGCAACCGCAACCGCTAAGAATAAGAAGGGTAAGAAAGAAAGGGGAGTGGCGCTGTCTTCGTACAGCAGACCATTCTTCTTTTTTTCAATTTTATTCACCGTCATTTAAGGAGAGGAAGACGGACGAGGCCTTTGGGAACGAAGAGTGTAACCACAAGACGGCCATAAAAAAAGGCCCGGATGAATATTAGATCAAGGCGAAGAAGCTGGAAGGGCAAGTTAATCCACACCACAAAAGCAAAGATGGAGAAAAAGAGAGGGCGAGAGAGAGAGAACAGAGCATAAAATGATGCGACAGAGAGGAGTCCATATGTGGGGCAGACAATAGAACACACACACAAAAAAGCTCCGTGGCAACGCATGCTTAATAGAAGGGTGGGAAAGCAATGTTTCAAATACATATATATAATGCGTGAAGCGTAAAATGAGGGCAAGTAAGGCGCTGAAAGAGTGAAGAAATGAGAAAAATGCACCAACGTCGACGTTAACGCCGAGGCGCTGCGCTGCGCTATACTGTGACCACGAAAGCCTGTGTACGCAAGCAAAAGCGAATATGAGTCCAGCACCAAAGACGTAGCAAAAAAAAAAAAAAAGGAGGGGGGGGGGGGAACGGAGCAGTTTTGGTAACACTCGGAATGTGTTAAAAGAAATAACTTGCATAAAGGCTTTAACGAAATTGGTGTA